TGTTTGGAAAGAAAGAGAAAGCAAGTAAGCAAGCCAGATCTCACAAAAATTCTAGATACATTATTTTGTTCAACAACAGCGTAATAGTTCATATTAAACTTTCTGATAACATATTTTACAGATATTAACATTATTAACCCTCATCTTCAGACATCTGTTGGGCTGGACTTGCAATTCAAAACACTGGATTTGCCCTTAAAAGAAGGGGCACGTCCCTGAAAGAGTTAATGGAGAAGAGGTATTTGTGTTAGCATTAGTTCATTATAGGTTTGTAATGCAGTGCAAGCAGTTGGCAGACGCAGTAAATGGAATGGTTGACGACATTCTTTTCAGGATAGACTGCCTTAGGCACCTAATTGTTAGAATACATGGAATCATGACTTCTACTTTTGGTTCAGCCACTGTCCCCACATGTGATTTTAGGCAGGTCATTTAGGACCCAATGCTATGAGGTGCTGGGCAGTCTTGACATCGTGACCTTTGAGGGTGCTCTGGAGTGACTAAACCCTCAACCTCTCTGAGCCTTAGTTTCCACATCCACAAAATGAGTGCAATGGCATTTAACCTACCTCACAGATGTGTTGTTGGATTTAATGTTGGGATGCTTTGAGATCACTGGATAAAAGCTACTGTAGGAAACCAAACTATGGAATGGCCCATGGTGTTTGGATCACACCCTATCATATATTACACTAACAAAACTAAAATGTATCTCAAAGAAATCAAAAGCTCTTTACAAACTATGCATGTAAAGCACCTCTGAAATGCAGCTACCTCTGGGAGACAGACAGCTACCAGGTGGACAACTAGTGCAGTGTGCAACAAAATACTTTGGGAAGTCAAAAGAAAAGAAAAAGCGTAATGGGAGCTTTAACGTCCATATAGAGGGATGCTGTAGCTCCAGAGATTTCCAGACTTGAGCCTCAGGCCCACAGATTCTCTCCTCTAAAGTGGACTAGCGATCTGGAATAGTTCTTTTGCATCAGAAAGTGGGGGAAGCATGTCAAAAATAACTAACCAGTAATGAGTGCTAGGCATGAGCATACCATGTTGCAGTGGTATAGAAGAGAGAACCATGAAATAAAACTAAGTAGTTATGGCACCACACTATGAATGAGACAACACTCGTACCTTAAGTGATACCTTTTCTAGTGAAGGAACACTGAAGCTGCCATATTGGAACTAGTCATCGGTCTGAATGAATAATAAGTTCTGAATGAATAATAATAAGAAAATACCAAGCTCCCCGAAGAGATCTGGAAGAGATGCCAGCGCCTGACATGGCCTGAAAGATGTTATTACAAGAACTGTTCAGCCTACCCTTTTGTGGCAGTGTGAGGGAGATTACATTTAGAGGAGGCTCACCTGTGAACATACAGAGATGGGTGTACAGGGAATCATGAAGGTAAGGAGCATCCTCTCTTTTAGCAAACAGAGCCATATCTCCATTGCCCATTAAAGAGGAACAGTAGAGCTGTTTGCCATCCTGAGTGAAGGTGTGTTGAGGCATGAAGAAAAAGGGTGCACGCGCGTGTGTGTGGTGGGAGGGCAGGGAATATGATCTGGGGCTTTGGAGATTTCTCTTTGGATGGAGAACGGAAACTGCCAGCAATGATAGTCGCCTTGGAGTAGAACAAAACCCATACTGTACATGCAGCTGCTGCAGTTCTCTTTTCTTTTGTAACTTGTCCAACACAACGCTATTAGCCTCAGTTAGAAGGTTGCTGATGCCAACAGGAAAAAGAGACACTCGCTTCTCTCAGATCAACCTTTCTTTAAAAAGGTCCACCAGTGACAGGCGCACTGGACTCCTTGCCTGAAAGGCAATGTCCTACTAAAAACAGCCTGCTCTTTACAACAGCCCTTTAAACAGGATGGTGGGAGAAATCCAATCCAGGATTATAAAGTAAGCAATCTTATGCTGCAGCCAGAAACAAAATTATAACATGGGCACCAGGAGACAGTGAGTAAATAGGTTGCATCTTTTGTTTCTTTCTCCACTGCTGGCTCACTGCAGCAAAGCCTGCAGTCCTTACAGATTAGTAAATAAAAAAAAAAAAAGCAAGCATCTGGGAGGTTGTTGCCAAAAAGTGCTTTATGTATTCTGTATTTTTAAAAGAAATCAATCAGCCTACTCTTTATTCATACTTAGCACTAGCCCCAATACATATTTCTGCCGTGCTACATAGCTAAATGAGAGCCTTTGTGTGCATGGGGGGTGGGGAGGGGGACGAGGATGATGGATTGCAATTTGTCAATGTCTTTCTATACTGGTGGTTGAAACTTACGCCTCTCAGTGCTTAGCGGTTCCTAGTGATTGATGGGATTGTTTACTACTTTTCCCTTTGGTCTGAAGGATCCTGAGTGGGTTTTCTGCCAGCACATGCGAAGGGTTTGGCTTAGTCCCAGGGCAAAAAGCTCTGCAGCCCAAGTTTTGTTTACACCACTGTAACCCTGGGGCATTTAGGGAGTTTAATAACTTTCAAACAGATACATTTCTGTTAGCAGGAAACAGAACACTGAAGCCACAGCCGGGTTTATTAAAACCTGTACTGTGTGTACAAACTATAAAATGGACCACCTTATTGAAAAAAAGTTTTGAAAATAGAAATGTTTCCATCCATCAGATTCCTGTTTACACAGTTGTATTTGCTGAGTGATGTAAAAAAAAAATGCACGACTAATCTCACAGTATTAATAACCCAGTTACTGCTAGAGGACAAACATTACATGGAACAAACTGGAAAGGGTAATAAACCTGGATGCAGCAAGTCTCTACACATTGCTCGCCCACTGATATAACAAAGGAAATAGCATAGGAATGCACATTGATAATTGTGCACACACACACACAGGTAACATTCTCATTATTGGATAAGGGTTGTAGTGTTTGGCTTAATTGCAAACTTTGGCTGTCACACAAAAGGAAACTTCCGGGCACCATCACATGCAGCAGCTGTAACCTGGCCATAGCCTGAGTTAAGGCAAATGTTAAAGAAAATGGTTCCATTCTTTGAGCCATGTGACTTAACTCAAACAGTGTGGTTTTGGATGCTTGACAAGGTCTGTAACCTCTGCTGTATTTTTTTTTTTTTAAAATAAAGTGTATCATATAGTGGTCAAGACAGTATGCAAAGGGAGATAGTTCCCTTATCTCTTCCTGAGGCTGGGAAATAAAGTCAAGGTATAATTGAAGAATTAAAATGATTACTTAAATATTTATCATATCAAATGGTGGTTCATTCGTCTACCATCGAAGGTAAGCCAGGTCCAGTGAGAGACATGGGGAGTTGGTATAGCTATCTGGTCTCAGGATATAAGAGAGAGATGATGGGGGAGGTAATATCTTTTATTGGACCAACTTCTGTTGGTGAAAACTTGTCTTTCAAGCTAAAGAAGAGCTTGGTGTAAGTTCAAAAGCTCGTTAGACCAACTTCCTCTGGTGAAAGAGACAAAAGATATTAACTTGCCTACCTTGTCTCTCTAGTATTATGGAGGGCGGTGAGAGGGTGGGAGAACAGAAGAAAAGGAAAGAGAACTGCCATCGACCATCACTAAGAGAAAGTTAACACCCTAATAAAGTAGGGCATGCAAGATCAGCAGCAATAATGCAGTCAGGCAAACTCTGGTTAAGCAGCTAAATCTGAAATATGTTTGATAGTTGTATAAACTATTTAACTGAATTATTTCTTATACAGGGCTACTGCCTCCAACATATACCCCTATAAGCAAAGAATTCTTGCTTCAGAACATTACAGTGAACAGACTCCCCACACTGCCCCAATACGAAGTGATACTTTAGTCCCCATGAACAGTGAAAGTTTTAAAAGGTAACCAGCATAATTAAAAGCAGTTCATCACAGTGGAATTTAGTCAAAATAGCAGGTTTAGGACCCTGCTCTATCAATCACCAGGTCCCATAAAGAAGTTTAAAGTTTGCATCTAGTAATGCTACAGTCATACTCTCTAATGGATCCCGCTGTACTCGTCTAGTCCAGCAGAGAGGAATCCATTATTTTAAAAAGACCCACATATTTGTGAAAGATGGAGGACTGACTATACTGGAGCTTCTCCCCTGAACAGGGTCAATGCTTCCAGCATTAGCTCCTCCCCACTCTAGAAGAGCCAGCTGATTTCCATGCCTATTCGATTCCTGGTCACTGAGACTTACCACCAGGGTGTCTGTTGCCAGGGTGGTTCGCTGAAGGCACCGGTCATCTACAAACGGCTAGAACATACGTGGGAGCTGTATTTGTGGAGGACAGACAATATGTTTACTAGACAAGTTGGTAGGCTTCTTCCGTTCTCACTGGCTCTAGTAAGATTCAAGGTAGTGCTTGCATAAAGAATCAAAAAAAAGTTTAACATGTCGACCTCATTTGAATTTGAGCCATTATAAATAGTTATTTGTGTAGCTGATTAAGGAAGCATTTGATATTTATAGTAGTGGACATCACCACAAGCCAAGCTGGAAAGAGTAATGTATGCTATGTGCCAAGCGCAGAGAGCACAGGAAGGTGTTTTACATTGTATTGTAATGAATACTGAACCCCTCACTGAACCCACAACCCCTCAGACACTCATCCCTCCTTCTAATGAAGCTCATCATCATTGTATGAAGGGTTAACACCCTTACTGCAGATTTCCTCTTGGCAAACAACATGCCTGCTGTTCTTGCAGTGGGGATCAGTGGTAGCCATTTTGGCCTCTGCAGCGAGGAAGGGAGATTAGTGGCAATTAAAGGAAAGACGGAGCACTGCCCAACCAGATGCTGAATGAAAGTCAGGACAAACCACTTCAACATTCTTTCATTGTTTCCTTATATTCCCTGGTCTACCTCTGTCCACCTGTTGCTTGTTTTATGCTGTACCACACAAGCTCTTTGGGACAGGAGCTGTGCAGCACTGACCACAATGGGGTTCCAGGCCATGACTGGGGCTCCTAGGAACTACCATAGTATGAATAATGTTGGAGAAGAATGATCTCACAGACAACCTAAATTTGAAAGTTAAAAATATAACTTTTATTGTCAGGATAGACAAACCCATTTTCTTGCACAGGAATCAGTTTCAAGAACAATGCCAGTAAATAATTGCTATTGTGAAGTTCAAAAGGCAAGCCAAAGAACAGTTCAGGGGCAGGGGGACCGAACATCTATACATCAGTGCAGAGAGCTCCAACAATACAAAGTGACACCATCATTTAAGGCATTGAAATTAAAAACATTAAAAGCAGTACAAGTGCAAAACAAGTCAGTTTACAATGGTCCAATTCTGATAAGTCAAAGGCTCAATAGCTGTGCGGTGCAGTAACTTCCAAATGTTAGAAGAGTGCAGTTCTGTAATCCACCTAAGCCGGTTACATTGTATACCAAATATGCAACTTGATGGAGAACACACACATTTCCCCCTCCTTCACCCACACACTTGCTAAGTGTCAAATTGTGCTACAAGTGCCTCATACATGTGGATATTACTTAGGTACTTGCAAGGTAAGTCTTCAAGAGAACTACTAGGAGCCAAGACACTTGGTATGTGTCTGCCAAGATGCTTTCCCCTCTATTATCTGTTGATAGTCATCTTCCGAGAAACTTAAGTGCCAGCAACCAAGACATGGTGGATCTTTCAGCTTCCCCCCCAGAAGAGTGGTACATAGCCAGAGAACTGTTACTGAGAAGCATGGCAGGGAAAATAGACTAAAAGATTAGGCAAGCCTTTTCCCCCCTCACCCCCATATTGCATAGTGTTGATATATGCTCCTGGCTGGATCTGAAAGACATTGCTTCAGTTACAGACAGTGACAGTCACTTTTTCAGTTCATGGTCTTTTGAAAATTCCTGTGTTTTATCTAAGCCAACTGGTCAGCTTGTTTGAGCATGGGGAGAGGAGTTAATTTTCAGCAGAAGTGGTGTGACATTGAAATGGAAGTCTCTAGGGAAGATGAGGGGGAAAGTCATTCGAGCAGCAACGTAAGCATCAGCTTGAACACTAGCTAAACTTTAGCTACCTTAGGGAATGAAGGGGGCAGGCTCATGAAAGGGAGACACTGCCAGGCCATTCCAGAACCAAAGTGGGGCCACTATGGTGGTATGGAGAACTGAAACCCTCACAAGGTATCCTCTGAAGAGCTTGAGCTACCATGCCAGAACAGAAAAATCCTGCAGACTTTGGAGAGGAGCTAGTGAGAGAACTAAAGTGTTTCTTGGTTTCACTTAGAGGAAGGGGTATGGCAAGGGAATAGTAGGATTCAGTTTTCTGCCCAGAAAAAGAGGGCATCTCTAAGTGCAGACATATTCCATTTTCAAAACTAAGCATGAGGTAGGCAAGTGTTTCCAAGACAATGATTTAGCATTTCTGCTTCAGAAGTTACCTTGCATTTAAATCCATCTTTGCTGCCCAAATTGCATTGGTTTTCCAGTTTTTAAAAGGAAAAATATTCAAACACAACTGACTTTTGTTTTGACGAGTCATTTGCCCCCTAACACTTCAAAAGTTTAAAAGTGCACATTGCTGAGATTGCAGTGCAAATTGGCATAGTCCTAAGATTGAGCAAATTATGTTTGCTATATAACCCGTAGGAAAAATTGTGAAATATTTACTTTTGCACCAGGTTGATCAGCCTGCTACCTTTTAAGAGGCAAGATCTATTTCTTCGTTCGGGCAGGGGAGTTTGACATCCACTATATTTAACTAGTGGAACAATACTTTAACAAGAGCTCTAGAGTTTTCTATGAAACCTTTTGGAACTATAAACCTATGCTGGTAGAGTTATTTCCATGGCATAAGAACTTTCTATAGAAAAATGGTCAGTAACAATTCCTAGGCTGACCGCAGGACAGGTCAACTAGATGCTAACCATAAGTTTCAAGTAAAACGTTAGCTTTGTTCCTGCCTTTTTTGCGCACCCAGCAAAGGCAGGCAGTTAGCTGCACCGGGAATATCTTATGCCAGCCTGAAGGCTTACACATTGGGGTGTTTGCACAGCCCATACAGAGCACAATGGTTGCTGTGCATGAAATCAAACTGTAAAGCAAGGTACCTCTTAAAAATTCAGGATATCAAACTCCACTTAGACATTTTAGTTAGTGGCCACAGGCACAGTTTTAAACATGCAACAAGATTTCTAGCATTCTTCAATGACTGTCTCAATCAAGGAGTAAAGTTTTTTTTTAATAAGCCGAAACCCAGGACTCAGAATCAGAGTACGTTTGCTGCCAGACACGAAACAAGCTCGGGTAAAGAAAAAGTCCCTGAAACTGGGCCATGAGCAACAGTCCTGCTTGAACACAAGTGTCAGTTCGAAAGTAGGAACAACACTGGGGTCATAGATAAGATTATCCAGTTTTTTACATACATTTCCAATTTCTAAATTGACATGGATAATGCAACCTCTCAAGCCACAGGGCTCAGTTGAAGAAAGCCGCAATACATCTTGAGCTATTCTCTTGGTTAGTTTTTCTGGTATCAGAACCTTTGAGCAGTGAAGTTTGGTCTGCTTTGATTTGGATAGGCAGTTCTCCAACATTTTAACTAAACTCTGACAGGTTCTCTCCTCAAACACCACCTCATTAAGGTTGGGTTCAGGCACAACGTAATCCCAGTAGTCAAAGTCTGCAGGGGAATTAAGACATGAGGAGGAAAAACACATAGTAACATACCAGTAACTGGCAAGAGGCAGACAACAAACCTACCTGTTAATTTTCCTGAAGTATTAAATAGCGATAGTCAGCAAGTCAGCATGAGCATACTACAGTGTCATTGTAGTGTGGTTTCTTACATGAATGAGAATTAAAACTATGTATATTTTATGTGTGCTGCAACAGCAGTCTGTGGTCACTTTAAGTAATTCAAACTACAGTTACACTTCTCTTGATTATACTGGTTATTACCGTAAACTTAATGAAGTCATTCTCCACTAGGGAGAGGACTTCTCAGCCGTTACTAATGTTTATTGCTGCAGGATGATAAAAAGCTAGCCCCTTGAAAACATGAAGTTAGTTTGCTTAAAGGAGAAGTGATAGCTTCACACTTGGTCATCTGCTTTCTAATGTGATCAGTCTTTAGTGTGGCAGGCTGCCAAGGGCTGTGATTGTTTAGTACATACATGGAATAAAGTAACTTGCTCATCCTAGTAAACTACCGAAAGCTGTGAAGTATACTGTAGTGCATGAGTAATAGAACAGGTTTATATGCAGAGACAGTTAAACTGGTTCACTATAGGTGGCAATAACTAGACTTGTGAGTCAGGATAAGCCACTGCAATTCTTGAAAAATCTGATTTCCACTCATTCTGAAAAGTTTGTTAGGATCATCTTTGCAGCTACCTTATCTAGCCATAAAAATCATTTTAGTAACCCTAAAGTATTAGTCAGAGGTAGCTCTACAAAATTTTGCATCAGTTTCCCCCCCCACCTCACTTGTGGTCATGTAATAATTCACAAGCATAACTTTTGCTCAGTTTTCCCCCATTTATGAACTTCCCCGCACTAGCACATAATAAGTTATAACACCACTTGGGGATGGACCCCTCCTTCCCTTTTGCAGCCTTACTTTTTAAAGGGGGGGGGAGAAGGAGGGGTTGAGAAGGTCAAAGATACTCACCGCTTATGTTTGAGTGGTGAAAGCCTTGGTGTAGCAATTCTGAAATGCATGCAGCGCTTTTACTGCTTAAATTGCTAGTTGCAACCATTTTTAAAGTACACTCTAGCCTCCAACAGATCTTTACGCCCTCCTGGTTTACTGAAAGGGAAGCACATGTAGCATGCTTACAAACAAAGCAAGTTATTAAGAGACACTACAGCAGCATCAACTCATAGTAACTCTCAAGGAGGACCACTTGCCTGCTAAGAGAGGAAAAAAGGAGTCTGGGAGCCCAGTTACTCATCCCCTTAAATATTTTTTTTCCTTGGGTCGAATGAAAGCCTTCCTGCTTCCTACTGAAAGGAGGCACAGCTTTAAAGCAGATGAAGAACAAAGTTAATTCACCTATCAGTGGAATCAGCCCACATGATTTCATCTTACCTGCTAAAACTTCACAGAAGTACAATATTTACATTTAGAACAGCTGCTTTCCGTTTCAGTGACAGGAAGTACACAAACCCTGACCAAATACAAACCTACAGCGAAGGTCTACCGCTGCTCTTCATTAGCAACCCCTCCCTCCCACGGATCAACCTGCCGCCAGGGCAGCAGCAGCTTATATGCACTTCTCATTCCCCCACCTGTCCGTGCACCTCCCTCGCCCCACCCCGTTCACGTTCCCCAGGCAGCGTTCTGCTCTGCCAGCTCTGCCCCCTCTCATTGGCTGCTGTCCCAAGAGGCTCTGAGGGGAGCAGAGCGGGGGCGGGACTCGTCTCGTCCCTCATGCGAAGGAGGAGACGCTTGAGCAAGGAGGGGGAAGGAGAAGGTGAGGTCTAGCTCAGGATTGGTCAGCGGCCGTGTCAAAAAGATCCGGGGGCTGGGAGCGCGGGAAGGCTGATCCCCTGACACATGTCACACTCAGCCCCTGTCGTTTCGCTGAGCCCCCGCCCCTCCACCACCCCAATAGTGTATTCTGCGGCCAAGCGCTTGGGGGGTTGTTTTTTGTTACGTAGAGCTTTTATTTCATTTGTTGTCCAGGGTGCTTTGGACACATTTATGTCGCTTTAAATTACTGTTTTGTGCACTCACACGCATTTCCCCAGGGCCCGTGTGTCCCCTTCATTTCCTCTCCCATTGACCTCAGTTCTCTGTCATTGCAGAGGGGGACTCTTGAAGCATGTTTCTCCCGCAATGCAGAGGCGTTTTCAAGCTGCAGTTCACTGGGCTAATACTGTATTATTAACACAGCATGTTTTATTAATGCAGCAGCTGTTGTTTATGAATAAAGGGGTGGCTGCCGTATTACAGATGTACAATAATGCAAAAAAGGATACACAGAGCCCGGCGTTGATCTCCCATTGGAGTAAAACCAGCATAACTCTATTCACTTCCTCTGATTATTCCTAATTTACATCACTGTGAGATCAGGCTCAGGCCCACAGTATTACAGTTAATAATAATATGCACTTCTCTTGTGCTTTCAAAGGGGGGATTTCAAAGTGTTGTACAATCATGAATGAATGTGGCATCAAACCCCCAATAAGCTTCACTTGGGCAGAACTGGGGTATTAATTCTCAAATCATGCCTGCAAGTTAGTTATTACGCGAGCTAAACCGGTCTATATACAGCTACTTGGTGTGCTGACTGATAAAAACTTGTATACCCATGGTTTGTACAGAAAATTACATCTCTGTGTGAGTGGATGGGGTGACTCCAGTTCATTTCTTTTGGAAGAGCTGCACCTCTAGTGTGTTTACTACAGCGCTGTAAATAGCTGCTGGTTCTTGGTAAGCACCTTAACATTACTCAATGTACTCTCAAAGAACAGGGAGCAAATTAGAAGCTGAGCCTGCAGGCTCTTGGTTGGTTGGAACGTAGGGGTGGGGGTGCTGTTCCATATGAATTGGCCACTTTTAGCACTTATAGTAATCCACAAGGAAGTTGAGAGTGTATCACCTCAACCAACAGCTCCTAAATACGTTTACTGCAGTTTAGAGACAGGGAAGAGTTTTAAGGTGGGTGAAGGGGACAGCAATGTCTCAGTTTTTCCCTTATTCCCTGACTCTCCCTACCCAAATGGAAACAAACAGCATGCAGGAAAAAAATTGCAAATTGACTCAGGTTTTACTCCCTCTCCATAGTTTTTTGCTGCTCTTTAAAATATCATTGACAGCAAAAAACCCAAACAAAAAACACCCCACTAAAAGCTACGAGGGCCAAGACATTCAGAGTCCGGGTATAAAACCCGGGCCAATACTCTGGGCCTTCTTCTCTATTGCTTTGTATCTTGTGCGCACATTCTCATTTGGGTAGCATTTTGGACAGGTGTGAATGCCTACACAAGGCCGTGGAGAATCAGGCCTTCCAATTTTAACTCATGCCAGGAACTAAGACAACAACATCATGGTGGTTTAAATGTTGGCCTCAGCCAACATAAACATGAGGACCTAAAACATAAGGACAGTCAAATTTTTGCTTAAATGTAGCTTTGGAAGTGGAATTTACTTTAAGTTGGAGGGGGGGCAGGCGGGTAGTGTATACTGCCCTACCATGAGCTGGCAGGTCAGGAGATGTTGATTCTACTTGTTTTCAGTTGCTACATTATACTAAAAGAAGCAACAATACGTTAGATAATTTCCTAACAATGACTACAGCCGTTGATTACCCAGGTGTGTTATTTAACTAGCAGCAGATGAGGAGTGGTTCGTTGAATCAAAAAAGAGCAGGGAAGGGTTCACAAGAGACTTTCTTTTAAGCTGTGGTTCACCTTATGATGAAAATTTGGGAGACCCTGCTCTCGTGGTCTTGCCTTCTAATAGCTAATGGAAATTCTCCTATAGTTCAGGGAGCAGAGCTGCTCTTTCAGAATCTTTCCATACACACTCCAATTGCTATCAATTGTTCTAAATGCTAGCAGGGCAAATTCCTTGGTGGGAGTTTATCAGGGAAAACAAAAATGAAATAGGGGATTTTAGAGCATTTTATTCATGTGATTTGGTGAATGTGTACTGGAACTGGGGAAGGATTAAAATACAGATTGCTGACAAATCAGAGTACAATGTTCTATGTCATCCTACTTTAAAAATGTTTCGTTTGCTTGTAGGTCAGTCACTCATTAATTAAAAGTTCTCATTCATCAAGAGTCATTTGGGTTGATTGCTGACTGGAACAGATCCAAAAGATTATTAGTTTGTGGCTCATTACCCTGATGGATTACTGTTAATCTGGCAGCCACCTATGCACAGGAAAGAGTCTATTCTTCTTTCACAAGGGAGAATAGACCCCTCATTCTCAGCACTTAAAACTCTCTATAACAATGTTTGTCAGAATAACTGCAGCCACTGAGCAGTAAACTTATTTCTAAGAGAAAGAACTCCGTTATCTTTGTGGATTCCCAGCTGCACTACAAAGAAACGGATTGAAGAAAAATACTATAATCTAAACACATTTTATTAATATAAACATTTGTTCTGCCTCCCTCGTTCTAAGAGTGAAAACAAACACTTGGGCAAACAGTCCTATTGCTATTTACATAAACACAGAAGAAAATTTGCTCCAATACTGCTCTGGCTGGAGGATGAATAGGCTCTAGTTTAAAGATAGAAAAACACAAGGAAAGAATTCCAGAACTTCCATGAAGGAACAGGTTGTTTTGCCTTTGAATAGAATCAAACCACAGAGAAAGTGATAAGGCAACTACCATATTATTAATTTAGAAATGGTGAGTATTAACAGAGGGTCTTTCCCCTGCATAAGTTATACGTGTGGGAAACACCCATTAATGCTAAGTGGAGTATCTATTCACACAACCACAAGTCTAATTTTGCTCTCACTCAAGTCCATGGGAATTTTGCAATTGATTTCAAACGCAGTAAGTTCAGGATCATTTTGAGTAATATGCATTTTTAGCCATGCAATAATTTACAAAGCAAAACTCTGCTTTTTTGCTCCATTTGTAAATCCCCATTATATCCCAACTGTCCGTACTAGTTTCCAGGCAGGAACCTGACCTTTCTAGCAATTGAACTGATGGGTATTGGTGCCCGAGACAGAAGAGGGGAGCAAAGTTTTTCAAAGAGCTGTTCTACCTGAGCTGATGGAAAATCTTCAAAGCTGTCCATCAGAGTAGGTGTTAATAATTAGTGTTAATGACTGATTTTTAGTTAAAAATAGTGACCTATGATAGATCTTTATGTATTTAAGTGCTGTTTCAGGAATCCACATGTTTTGTATGAGGTAAATGGATTTTTAAAATTAATTTAAATAATTAAAATATACAGCGCCAAACACCCCATGGCAGATTAATTACTGGTGTAAGTAAATGCTGCTCCATTGACTTTACTGGAATTACACCTGCTTAAAATGGTGAATTTGTATCTCCCTCTATGCAATATAGTGTTAGGAGTGTTCATCTAATTGAGTCAAAATTAGAATTATCTGTAGGCCTTATTTATCTTATTATTTCCCTTTCATAACAGGAAAAGGGCATTCCAGGCAGTTTCTTGGAGATTATGGACCTTCTTGGGTGGTTGAGGTTAATGGGCATCATTTCTGACAATATGTTCAAGATGTGCAATAATCCTTCCTGGAAACACTGCCTCAGGGTGTTTTATCACTTAATTACAGTCAACCCCTTCTGGCCAATGAAACATGGCTTAGACATGCACCCTAAAATGAATTACAGTACAAAACCAATCTTGCTAGAAAACGTACATTTTTGATAGTGATCACAACTGCTTTATGATTCTGAGCTCAAAAGTGGTTACCATAGTGACTCCATACTTCAAAATAGTTTCTGCCAAACAGTGAAAAACACCATACAATATCGGTCTTCATAGAAAGTAATTTAGGGCATGTGAATTTTCAGATGTAAAGCTTGGAGTATAGAAAAAGCTTATATGTCAGGTATGAGCATTTACACCCTTTTGGCTACTGATTAAAGTAATTTGCATGCACGTTTTTAAAAAAATGCACACTTTGCTTTGTCCTGATAGAAGTTTTTCTCATCTTGATTTTGCTGCACTCTTAAAAGACATTTGGACACTTAATAAATATTTGCTGCCTCTAATGTATTCTGTGACAGAATTATAGAGAGAAAGATTATGGAGACATTTTAGGTAATCTAATGTAATCTCTCCCTCTGCCCCTCACCGATGAAGGACTGTTCACTACAGTTACTTTGTCCAATTTTGTGTTAAATTTCTCTAATGATCTACCCCTCCTGGAGAAGATTTAGAGAATAGTGTTCTAAAGCCAACAGACTGTGCTGCAGTTTAAAGAAGAAGAAGTTGGAATGCAACTGGTGAACTCCTGTCCCTACTGAAGTTGTGGGAGTTTTGCCATTGTCTTCTCTGGGACTAGGATTTTATCCAGTGACCTTAATCTTAAACAACTGAATTTGTTAGTGATGTCTCAGAATTGATTACAGTTTAAAAAACAAAACAAAAACAATCCCAAGTGTTACTCACGAAATTATTGTGACATAATTATTTTTAATTGATGATAAGCTGCCTTCAATGTCCACTTTTGATACCTCCTCAGGGCACAAGGCCTGATTTTACCCTCTGTTTATAATTACCCAAGTTTGAATTTGACCAAGAATTCTAGGGGTAACACTCTGACCCTTATGAAAAGTGCCACAGGATGTTTAATAACCACAAGTAGTCAGGACCATAGTTTTACCCCTTAGCCTTATCCGCCTCATTTTCTGTAAATTGTTGTAGCTCAAGTGAAGTCAATGGTGCTATAA